CTGGCAAAGGTGGAAGAAGAAATCCAAACTCTGTCTCAAGTGTTAGCAGCAAAAGAGAAGCATCTGGCAGAGATCAAGTGGAAACTTGGGATCGGTTCACTACAGGAGCTAAAGCAGAACATCGCCAAAGGGTGGCGGGACGTGACGGCCACATCCACATAACGGAAAGCCTCTGAAACCTTATTTCAGGCTGGACAGAAGGCTTCAGCGGCCTTTTCATCTGTTGTCTCTGTCATCACCAAAAAGCTGGAAGACGTAAATATACGATCCATTCAACATTCAATTAGCATGCCTGCTATGAGAAACTCCCCGACTTTCAAGTCATTTGAAGAAAAGGTTGAAAACTTAAAGTCTAAAGTAGGGGAACCAAGCCTGCTGGTGGTGATTTTGGAGAAGTGGTGAATTCAACTGCAAATGCTAGTGCTACTGACAATGAGACGGCAACAGAGCAGACACAGGAGAGCCTGTGAGATCGCTACCTTTGTTCCACTACCCACTGCCAGAGGCTGCACACAAGAGCCAAGCACATCTTGTCAACATTCATTGCTATGGATTTCTACCAGATGAGCTTTTATTTAGCTTTTCATAGTTCTTTGACCAAATAGTTTGTGAGTTAAACAAATGAAAACGTCTTCACTTGTACTCCCAGGAAACACCTTGAATGTGCATTCAGGGCCCTTTATTTAGGGAAATACTATTATTCAGACACAGGTAGTACCTGGAGACACTTGCTAGAATGATCTGAGAAGCTGCAGGTGATCGCAGTTGCTTTCCTACTTTACAAAATTGCTCTGCATCTGAGATGCTACTTGGATCTTTGTCTTCTAGATGATTTTTTTTTTTCCTTCTTTGGCTCTGTATATTTGATTCCTAACTCAAATTATTCTTTTAAATTTTCTGAGTCCTGGTTATTAAAAAGTTTTGTGCCATTTTATTTACATTTAAGGGAACAACTTAACAGCTACAAAAATTTTGTTTTTGAATAAACACTGTTTTTGTATAAAGTACATATCTTGGGTGTGTGAAGATGCCAGACTAAAGTAAACAGCTTTAAATCCAATTTTTTATAGTTGTGTGACAGTATATATAGTAATTCTGACTACTGGGTGACTTGGGAGTAGGACCTCCCTATGTTCCTTAACTGCCATTTGTGACTATAACCATTTCAGCATATTTGTTATTTTGCCACATATCAACTTTTGACAATATTAAAATTTTAATTTCAGAGTAAATGGACAGCTGACCAAATAACAGAGTCAAGCCCATCAGGTTGAAATATAAGTGTGCTCATCAATGTTCAGTTCAAACACCTCAAGTGTTTTAGGTCTTGATAGCTATAAACATGGTAAGCTCAATCACATAAGGGGAAGCAATGCTGTCTCCATTTAATCCATTTAGCACCTTTAAAAATAAGCACACAGTTATGACTGATATAACTTGAACATTTTTATACTAAGGTGTTGGTGATAACTCCTGAGGGTGTAATTTATTAATACAAATGAATTCCTTATTCTCTGCTTGTTTGCAATGTTAGAAGTGATACTGTAGACACTGCTCCTACTTTGAAAACTGGATTCCAGGCCAGTGAATCAAACCCTCTGCAGAGGCCAAGGTACTCTAGTAACTTAATAACTACTGACTTACACCACCACCACCACCATTTCCTTACTGCTGTATGTTTGTGGCCTACAATGTTCTCTGTTATTTATCAAAATGTGATTGTTTTGTTTATGCCAAATATTAATTGCCAAGCTTGGAATGATCTAATGCAATTTTTAAAAGCATGACTACATTTACTTGAAGATAAATTCTTCTGAAAACCCAATTTGAAAAGCCACGATTATATAAATGACATGCTGCCATTCTTGATTGCTAGAACTTTTGTTAGCACTTTGGATGCAATTGAAACTGTGCTCTATTACATGTGCAAAGCTTAATAAATTCTGCATATCAGTAAAAAAATAATTACATTAAATGTAAATGATCCAAATAGATCAACTATAAGACTGGAAATGGCAGGTTGAATTTTGTAATCCTATTTCTGTGTACAAGAAATCTACTTCTAATATGACAATATATGTAGATTAAAAGTAAAAAGACAGGAAAAGATATACATGCCATGCAAATAGTAAGTAAACTAAAAGTGTGGCTATATTGTCAGATAAAGCAGATTACAGAAAAAAGAAAATTGCCAGAGATGGTAAAATTTAATACAGAAGACTCACTGCTATGAATCCATACAGATTACTGTCCCTTGCTTCAAACACGGTTATCCTGTTGTTTTGCCACTTTCTGAATCAGTTCTGAAAGTCCTCTTTTGTAGTTATGCTGTCATGGCTGCCTCCGTGTCCTAAATTAATTCAAAATGTTTACTTTCATGGTCATTTTAGTATTGTGGAAGAGTCAAAAGTTGCCTGGTGCCAGATCCAGTGAATAAGATGGATGAGAAAATACTGTGATGTTATTTCACAAAAATTTAGATAAATGTAAATTGTTTCAGAAAGTGGTAAAAAAATGGAACAAGTGTGTTCAAATTGAGAGGGAGTACTTTAAGGGGGACTAGTGGCAATGTGCCTTTCATTGTAGTTGATTTTTAAATTTAAATATTCACCATCTTTATGATCATACCTCATAAAACCATCTTATATGTTAATACATCAAACAATAGCACTGCCAAATCCATGAAGCAAAAACTGATGGAATGCAAAGTAAAATAAAAACAAATATATTTAGAAACTTCAACATCCCTCTCTACACAAGTCATAGAACAATTAAAAAATTAGTAAGACTATAAAAGAATTCATCGTCATCAACTAATAGAATTTCCTGACATTTATAGAACATGTCACTCAATATGCAGAGAACATTTGCCAAGATAGATCATATCCTGGATCATAAAAACAAACCTCAACAAATTTAAAATGATTAAAATCATACAGATCATGTTCTCTCACCATAATGAGTTCAGATTAAAAATCAAGGGCCAGGGATTTAGCTCAGTGGTTCTGCTGCCTGCTTTGCAAGCATAAGGTCCCAAGTTCAATCCCTGGTACCAAAAACAAAAACAAAGAACAGCAACAACAAAATTAGAAATCAATAACAGAAAAAATAGCAAAATCTCCAAATAGTGGAAACTAAACACACTACTAAATAATTCATGAGCCAAAGAAAAAACATCAAGGGAAATTAAAAATAAAATAAAACAACATTGAATTAAAAGGCAGTGAAAATATATAAAAATGTGGGAGAAAACTAAGGTGGAACTAAGAAGGAAATGCTTGTGTAAGAAAGTAGGAACATCTTAAATCAATAATGTTAACTCTCACCTTGAGAAATTAGACTAAAATAAACCCAAAGCAACAGAAGAAAGGAAATAATAGAAGTAAGGGCAGCAGAAAGGAATGAGAGGGGAAGGAGATGAAAATAATTAAGATGCATTGTGTGCAGGTACAAACTCCCCACAATAAATAGCCATTATGTATTGCAAACCTGTACTACTAAGAAATACACAACCAATAAAAAAACAATGGAATTGAAAACACAAAAGTAATATTTTTTAAAAATCAATGAACCAAATGGATTTGCTAAAAAGATCGATACTATGAACTTCCTACTTTCTTACACAAGAATTTCCTTCTTAGCCCCACCTTGATTTTCTTCTAGGAAGGTGACAAGTAAAGAAAAGAGAAAAGACAATTTGGCAATATCAAGAATGAATCTGCAGAGCGTCACGCTGTGCAAACATCAAACAGATTATACTAGAATACTACATACAACTCCTTACACAAAATCCCACAACTCAGATGAAGTAGACCATTTCCTCAAAAAGCACAATCCACCAAATTCTCCACTATGAAACACACCATTTAAATTGCCCTGAACTACTTAGACTTAAACTGTAGTTTAAAATGCTGTAAAGGAAATTTTCAGGTGCAGGTGGTTTAACTGGAGAATTCAACCAAACATTTGAAGAAGTCTAAGCTAATACAATATCTCCCTGAAAAGAGAATAGTAAGGAATATTTCCTCAAATCATTTCATAAAACCAGCCTTAACCTGCTGCCAAACCACACCATAATAGAAGGTAAACCATTCCTTACTGGTTCTACAATCCTGAGAGTGGGAAAAAAATCACCCAGGTTTGGGACCAGAAACCAAAACTGGATAACAGTTTCACCAGGCTAAAACCAAGATGTCAGTGTTCTTTTCTGGAGGTTTTAGAGAATAATCTGTTTTTCATGCCTTTTCCAGCTTTGGGGGCTGCCTGTGTTTCTCAGCTGGTGGCCTCCTTCTGTCTTCAAATACAGCAATGGCCAGTTGAGTCTGTTACATCATGTGTCTCTGCCCCTGACTCAGTTGCTTCTGTTTCACATTTAGGGACACACAATTTACACTGAGGCCACACAGACAATCCGGAATGTCTCCATGTCAAGTCAACTGGTTAGCAACGGATTTTTCTCTGCAATCTTAATTCCCTTTTGCCAACATATTCATAGATTTCAGAGATGAGGACATGATCTCTTTGGTGATCTCAATTCACCTCTGATCGTCAAGGGTCACTTGAATCTCATATGCATATCTTCATCCCAAAGTCTCAATCCATTAGAGCATCAAGCCCCAAATCTCATCTAAGTGTCACCCAATCCAAACCCCTAAATTTCATTGCTTAAATAAAAAACAAGTTATGTGCTTGTTATAGCCTGTCCTGGGCAAAATTACCCACCTGGTGACAGTGACAGCCAAGTAAGAGGTCCCTGAGAGCCGAGGCCAAGGAGCGTGGAGCAAGGGAGGACAGACCCTGGGGCAAGACGTCCAGGGCCTGAGACTGTGGTGCCACAGGCCTGGTACCATCCACTGCCTCCGAGTGACTTCTACTGATTTCTGTGACAACAGCCTTCTTGCAACTGAACGGATGACTTCATAGAGGACAGAAATCCGTGTGTAGTGCGTGTTCTCACAGGTTCCCGTATGCATCGAATACGGTGCTTGCTTTACAGAAAGGGGAGCACAGACCTCTGAATGGAAGGAAGCTCCGAGACGGGTGCTCTGCCCACCAACACCCTCGTCACCTCTTTCCACGTTTCCATAGCAACGGTGGGGAGAGAGGTCAGCATGCTGAGAGATCCCCGATGTGGCTTTACAGTTTTGTCCTGTATTTTTATAAGCACAGTCACTTTTTCCCCCACTCTCCTTTGTCCCCAAGTTCAGGGTCAAAATTCTAGCAAGAAATGAAATAGAATTTCTGTGAATCTCCAAACTCGCTGGACCACGGGTCCTGGCACTGCCGCCGCCTTGCTGCGGGGAAGCGTCAGTGGGGAGGTTGGGTGGGTGAGCCAACGGAAGAATCGGGGGAGAAAGGAAGAAGGGAGCTTGCTTACGGCAGTGGAGATGAACGTCAAGGGGCTTTGGATAACGGCCACGGCGGTGCAAGTGGTTCAGGAGTGGCTCTGCCCTCTCCGAGTCTTTTTTCTCTGGTCCCCGGCACTTCTGACTCGGCCTCTCGCCGCCTTGCTGTGCCACTCCGTGTCCGTGTATCTGAGTCCCAAATCCACACACCGTGACGGAGCAGCCTGCCCCCTCCCTCCCTCTTCCCTGATTCTCTCCTGCTCAGCCGCCCCTTCTTCAGCGTCTTCTCAGACTTCATGTCATTGACAGTTCACTATCCTGCCCCAATGTATTTTGTTTGTTTGTTTGTTTTATGTTTTTGTTTGGTTTTGACACAGGGTCTCACTGTGTAGCTCAGGCTAGCCTCGAACTTGCTGTGATCTTCCTGTCTCAGCCTCTTGAGTGCTGGGATCACAGGTGTGGGCCACCACACCCACCCCTCTAATGCACTTTTTGTCTTTTTTACATTTATTTCTGTTATTATTAGATCAACATCTGCCCTCTCTACTAGATTCCTCTGCAAGGCAGGGACCCTATGCCTGCTGGACTCTGTTCGGGAAATAATCTGTTAAAGAAACATCTGCATTGTCTCCCAAGCCCTGTGGAACCATCCTTGGTAAAGATCTCTGTAACCTCACCTTCATGTGCCCTATTCGATTCCTTGACCTAGCACAGGCTCAGTAACATCAGCTCCTCATTGACCCCCTCTCCTACATTCTTTTGGTTTCTCAAAGTCAATATATACCAAGCCAGGTCTTTGCTAGAACCTGACACATTAATTCAACAAAGACAAATTAAGTCCCGATTATAAGTCGAGCACAGAGTTACAGACTGATGAGACACCGCCTCTCATGGAGCTGTTCACTGTCTCGTGGTGGTGATGACATCACTCAGGGAGCTCGCAGAGGAGGTGACAGATGTCCTGGGCATTTTCCAGGCTTGGGGAGACTGCCAGATGGGGGAAGAGCATGGTCCAGGGCAGGAACTAAGAGTGCTCAGTTGGCTAGAAGGCTGAGACTACTGCCCCTTATTTTATTAAATGGAAAACTTCTAACATAGGTAGAAGGAAAATAATATAAAATCCACCTCCATGCGTCCATTATCCAGCTTCAACAGTAATCTCCTCCTGGTCAGTCTTGTTCTATGTAAACATCTACCCACCAAATCCCTGTAGTGTTATTGTGATGCAAATCCCAGTCACCGGATAATTTCATTTGTAAATACTTCAGTATCTTGAAAAGATAAAGTATATCTTTTTTTTCTAAAAAAAATTATCCATCTATATGCTGATTACTCAAAATGTTGTTTTCCCCTCAGTTCCAGGCTAGAACATGCACCTGTGCACCTGGTGTCAGAAGCAGCACAATCGCAATCATTGGCACTCGTTCCTCTGGCCAGATAACCTTGATTCCTCATTTGTCTCGGTCCACAATCCAATCAGTCCACCTACACTTTTAAATTTTATTTTATTTATCAGCAGTGGGGATTAAATCCAGGGCCTTTCACACAGTAGGCAAGTTCTCTACCACTGCAGCACACCCACAGCCTTACAAGTCTATTGGTTTTGTCTTCAAAATCCCTTGCTGCTACCCTGTCTCAAGCCCTCTCACTCACTGGATCCTTAAGACTTTCTTTTCCCTGGATGTCAGTCCCAGTAGAAGGTTCTCCAAACAGCAACTAGAATGACTTTTTAAAAGATTTAAGTCAGCTTATCCTCTCCTTGGCTCAAAAGCATCCTTCCCACCACACTCAAATTAAAATCCAAGTCTTCCCCATGACCTGTAAAGCCCACACCCTGTGACTCCTGCCTGCTTCTCAACCCTGTCTGGGGCCTCCTGGTCTCCTCATTATACGGAGCTATACACCCATAACAGCCTTCAAGCTTGCTGACCCTGGCCTTTCCCTCGCTGTTCCCCCACCCGGAACACTGTCCAGTCGATCCACAGCATGTTCTTTTATGTCTTTTGGGCTCTTGTCAAAGGTTCCTTTTTTAGGTGGGCGGCCCACCTGTTCTAGAACGGCCCTTCCCTTTGGTCACTCTGTCAGCTGCTTTAGTTTCTATCATGACACATGGCACTGTTGGCTTGCTTTTGTCTGTTCCCCTACCTCTATGGTGTTGGCTCCACAAGGCCAGGGAGTTAGGCATTCTGAGTTCTTGAGTGAGAGATGGCGTATATTTGGTGAGTAAAGAACAAATACAAGTAGGTGACAGCCATCTACAAACAAGGAGAGCAAACTATTGCTCTTGATGATATTTTTTGTCTCCGTTTCATGTACTAATGTGTTGATGGAAATTTCCTGGGCAGTTAAATAGTAATGGTGATCACAGGCATCCTTGTTTTGTTCTTGATTTAAAATAGCAAGGTCTCTAGGGTTTTACAGTTAAATATAATTTTAGTGGTTGGTTTGAAGTAAAGTTAAAGTAGAAGAATACTTCTGGAAAACTATGTTAAACAGATGTTTTTGCAACAAATAATGTTTTATCAAACATCTACTGCACCTGTGGCTGCTTGACTTTAAATCCTGCACTTTTCCAGCAGGCCAGACTGTTTCTTCTTACAGCTGACCCCTAATGTGGGCTTTCAAATGATTTGATAATGAACTGAGACTGTGACCCCGGCCTCATCCCAGCCCCCACAGGAAGTGCAGCACAATGTTGCCTGCTGCCTTGAAATCTAACAAAGGCCCAAAGCTGAAGAGTGGAAAGTCTTTCATGCCCAATCAGGCAAGTGCTCAGGTGGCAGGGGCACCTAGATAGGCACACAGGCCGACCTTTGCCATGCTCAGCGTCACAGTCAGACAAGGAGAGTGAGGGGTGCCAGCATCTCCTCCAAAACAATAAAAGGCTTTTTTTAAAAAAAGAAAATAGGTGGCAAAGGGGCCCACTCCCTAGGCATTGGCCTCCAAGGGTTGGCTCCTGCTCTACTCTGGAGGCGGGGTGCATGTAAGAACCAGGGGGCAGATTCCCCAGGGCCCTGTGCCCACCAAAAACACAAGGGAAGGAGAGAGCAAGGACAGTGCTCTGAATCGAACTCATGGTTAACTATCCAAAAGAAACAACTGAAAGTAGCTAACTCATTGTAGAATTGGGCCAAAAGTGTTAAGGAAGCTATTCCCAAATGGAGGGATTGAGGTCAGTTATAGGAGCGAGCAAAAACATTTCAGGGGAAATCTCCCAGAACCAACTCCACACTTAGTTGGCTGAGTGGGTTCCTGAACCACACCCCACCCCACTCCCAGGGCAAGTCCCCTGGGAAACCCTGGGCATCTAGGCCTCTGAGGAAATCACTGTCCATTGTCCCCCTCTCCACAGCCTTTAATTTGAGTCATTTGCTGTGAACTTAGCTCAAATACAGAGCCATTCCAATCATAGCTGCAGAGATGGTTTAGGTTGTCTTCCTGGCAGCTGCCCTGCAGCCCCTGACCTTGGAGCCTGGCCAGTGTCTCCTAATGAGCAAAGGCTCTTTCCTCCTCAGTGAGCTCTAGCTGAAAGAACTGCATTCCTGTTTAGGAGCACTAAGTAAACACAATGACCACCAAGACAGAAATGAGGAAATACCAACAAGCGGGAAGTAAAAGTGGGAAAAGAAGACAAAGGCAGGCTAAAGGCAACACACGCATTTCTAATGGAAAGTCCTGGAGAGTGGCGGGAGGAAGATAAGAAATGAAGCTTTGAGCTTCTAGCAGAGAGAAGCGAGGGATATCCCTCTCAGAGTTCCTTCAGCATTAGAGAAAGTATTCACAAGTTTTTCAGGAAAAGGGAGGCCGGAGGGAGTTACTAGTGCAGATCCCAGCAGAGAGGGCACTGGGTGGCACAGTGAACAGCAGCACCCTTGTGGTGTTCAGTGAGGTGGCGTTTCCAATCCCCTTCCATCCTACAGGAGTCAGCTAAACCTCTCTGAATATTCTCACCTCCCTCATCAGTGACTGCTACGTAATGGGAAGTGTCCCTAGCCAGGCAGGGGCTGGGATAAGTGTTCTGGGAGGTTCTAGAAAAGAATTTCTTGCCTCTATGAAATGTCCTTTCTTTTCACCAAGTGCTTGTGCCCAGTTATGGTTCCTGAAGCTGCTGCAGCGGTCCTGGCTTCAGATGTGGCTTCAGGGAGAGGAAGAGAGGAAGAGACTTGGATCTGAAGGCAAGTCTCTACCTGAACCCCTGCTGGCCTAGGTGACACATCCCCTTGTTTTTAAGGGCCTTCAGTGAGGGGTTGACATGATTTGGAGCTGCAAACACTAAATCTTGCAATTGCTAACTATGGTTTATCTCTCTGTTTGGTATCTCTTCTTTAATTCTCTTCACTGTGTTTTATAATTTTCCACATCGATGTCTTGGGTATATTTCATGGAATGATTCCAAAGGGCTGTTGTTATGGTTTATATCCAGATGTTCCCCAAGATATTCAAAACTGGGGCTTTTGGAAGGTGATTGGATTATTGGGTCCTATTACTGACTTGCTGTTAGGAGGTAGGGTCTGGTAAGTAAAGGCAGGTAACAGGATTGTGGCCTGGATAGGTTTATCTCCCTCACCAGATCCTCCCTTCACTCTGCTTTCTGTTCACTGTGCCCTCTGCCATACCATCCTGCCTTGGAGTTGGCCAACTATGCAAGGACTGCCATTTCTGTTTTCTTTCTTTTTTGGTACTGGAGATTGAACTCAGGACCTGGTGCTTTCAAGGCAGGCACGGTGCCACTGAGTTAAATCTTCAGCTCGAGGACTGACATTTCTAAAATATGAGCCAATGTAAACCTCTCCTCCGTTGAGTGGCAGGTGTTGGGTATTTTGTTCCAGCAACAAGGAAGGTAACTAAGAGTAACTTAAAGTACCATATCCACTAAACTAAACTAAAATAGCTGGGATGTAGTTTATTGGTAGAGCATTTGCCTAGTTTGTGCAAGGTCCTGGGTTCAGTTCCCAGCACTGCAATAAATAAATTAATTAATTTCCACATGCTACTACTTCTTTTCAGTATGAATAACTTCTATTTTTGGTGCAGGGGATTCAATGCAGGACTTTGTACTTCGATAAGGATATACTGTACCCCTGAGCTAAACCCATCCCTGAACAACTTCTTTTAGAATTCTTACAGTTCATGACTCTTGGCAACAGCCCACTGGTTTATATTTATATGCAAATGTCTATTTCACCTTCACATTTTAAATTTATTTCATTTCATTGTTTGAAACAAAGTCTTATTGAGTACTCCAGGCTATGCTTCAACTCCCTAAGTACCCCAGGCTGGTCTCAAACTGACCATTCTCCTGCCTCTGCCTCCAGAATACTGGGATTACAGGTGGGCACCAACACTCTCAACTTTACTTTTTAAAATGTACAATTTAATGGTTGTTAGTATATTCACAAGATTATGTACCATATCCACTAAGTCCAGAACCTTTTCATAATCTTAAAAATTATCCCCTAAGGCCCTGCCAACTACTAATCTGTTTTTGGACTCTATGGATGTCCATTCTATGAAGGAGATCATACAGCATGTGTCTTGTTTCTTCAGTTCATGTTTGTAGGTGCCTCTATGTTGTAGCATGCACTGGTACTTCATTTCCTTTTCAAAAATTGTGGCACAAAACACTGAACTTTGTCATCTTAACCACTTTTCATGTGTGTGGTTCAGTAGTGTTGTGTGTATAAACACTGTTGTAAAATGAACTCCAAAACTTTTCTATCTTACAAATTTGAAACTGTATCTGTGAAACAACTTCTATCTTCCCCTCCTTTCAGGTTCAATGAATGGTAGCCACAATTCTGCTTTCTGGCTCTGTTGACTATTTTTGATAATCATATAAGTAGAATCAAAACAGCAGTTGTCATTTTGACACAGGCTTATTTCACTTTGCATGATATCCTCAAGTTTGGGCCATGTATCGCTTATTGGCCTTCTGGCTAAGATCAAGTTTCAGCCATATCACAGTGTCTGAGAGGATTGCCTTCCTTTTGAAGGCTGGGTAATATTTCATTGTGTATTTGTACTATATTTTATTTATACATTCATCTGTTTGATGGACATTTGGGTTGCTTCCTCCTCTTGGCTACTGTGAGTAGTGCTACTATGAACAAGAGAGTGAGATGATCCTACCCCACCCCCAAAGCTTATTATGTGGAGACCTGGCTTTTGTAAGGCAATTAGATCATGGGGTTTTTACAGCTACCTGTTAAGAGGTGGGGGGGTCTGGTCTAAAGAGGCAGGTCAGTGGAGTCTTGAACCAGAAGGGTGCACCTTCCACTCCGGCTTCCTTTGTTAATTGCTGGCTGCCATGATGTGAGTAGCTTTTCCTCTGCTATGCCCCTCTGCCATGCCATCCTGCCTTGGAGCCAGCCAAATATGGACTAAAAATATGAGCCAAAGTAAAATTCTCCTCCTTTAAATTGCAGGTGTTGGATATTTTGTGCTACTGACAAGAAAGTGACTAAGACAGAAAGGTAGACTTAGGTGACTCTGGTGTTAATCATTAGATTTTACTGTGATCAGTAGCTCTGCAGGGTACTGAGTCTCAGGTCAGCAGGATGAGAAACAAGGCTAATTTGCAAACAATATAGAAAGTGGAAGTCTTTTAACTAGATGAAGGGTGGGGATTAAAACTGAATTCAAATAATTTATGTCAGGCCTAAAAGTAGATGCCAGAGAACCAGCTACATTAACCAATTTATGGCCACCATCTTAGTATGAATCTTTCTGGTTCATGAACATGTGAAACTTAGGTTCACTTTTTCAATGGGTTGTGTATTTGCTACTGGGGATTAAATGTGGGGCCTCACACATGCTTGGCAAGTGCTTTACCACTGATCTATACTCAGAGTTCTATTTTAGTCTTTTAAATACTATTTTATTTTATTTTGGTAGCAGAGATCAAACTCAGGACCTTGCGCTTGCAAGGCAGGTGAGGTGCCACTGAGCTAATTCCCCCGCCCTTTTAAATACTATTTTAAATGGAATTGTTTTAATTTAAATTTTTTTCATTGCTGGTATATAAATAAAACTGCTTTTTGCATTTCTTTCATCCTGCAACCTTGATGAATTCACTTGTTAGCTCAATTAGCTTTTTAATGGATTCCTTAGGATTCTGCACAACTTTATTTCATTAATCTGGATGCATTTTATTACCTAGTTGCTCTCGTTGAATCTAAACTACAATAGTAAATCGATGTGGCAAGAATGAGCACTCTTGCACTGTTCCTGATCTCAGGGCAAAACAGCATTACATTTCTACATTAAATATGATGGTAGCTGTGTACTTCTCATTGAAGACCCTTAGCAGATTGAGGAAGTACCCTTCTACTCCCATTTTTAAGTATGAAAAGGCGTTAGATTTTTGTCAATGTCTTTTCTATGTTGTGATGGTCTACTGATGTGGTTTTTGTCCTTTTTCTGTAATGCTGTCATGTGGGTTGATTTTCATATTAAACCGAGTGTGCATTCCTGGAAGTTACACTTGATCAGGTTACAATCTCATTTCTACTGAGCTCATTTCTAGAAGTGCAAACAATGAGACAGAGTAGTCATACTTACCTTCCTAAAAACTGGCAGTTTCCCAAGGCAATTATAATACCTTACATTTCTATTAGTTGCTCCACATTATCACCATTTGACAGGTATACAGTGGCATGAACTTGTGTTTTCATTTCACATCCTCTGATGACTTATGTTGAGCATATTTTCCTATGCTAAATTGTACATTTGTACAGCTTCCATATGTTGGGTTCTCATTACAGTGGTTTTTAAGAAGTTCTTTGCTTTTCTCAGTATGCATCCTGTCAGGTAAGTCAGTAAATGTATCACAATTATTTTCTTAGGCCATGGCTTACACTTTCACTTTAGTGGGATTTTTTTTTATTAATATCTAATTTTGGTGAAATTTATTGTTTTTAAGTTTAATAGCTTTTGTGTTCTAAGATATCTTCCCTTTCCCCAAGTTCATAAAGAGAATGTTTTGTACCTACAAAATTGTCTTCTTCACTTATAGGTCTACAATCCATTTTCAGTAAGTTGTATATGGTATAAAGGCATTAATGTTCAGGGTTTTTTTCCCCCTGTACAGATACCAGTTACTCCATTTCTAATAAAAAAAATTCTATAGATCAACTTCTGGGAAAGTGACATCTCAACACTAGGCAGTCTTTTCCATCAATGAGAATAGTATCCTATTATCACTAATTTCTCTCAGCACAATTCTGTAGTTTTCATACACATTTTTTGTTTTGCATTAACTTTCTTTCTGGATATTTGACTTAATACTGTTATAAATAGTACATTTAAAATCTTTATTTTGTGTTTAATACTAATGTATAGATCTACAAGTGTTGTATATTTGCTTCATATCCTAAGAAATATTGCTGATTGATTTATCAAGCAAATGCTCAGTAATCTTTAAGAAATCAGAGTGTGGAATAAGTGTTATCTAATTTGAAACAGATCTAATTTTCCATTAGCATAAAAATGAACTCATTCTTTATATACAACCTCTCAAAGTTATCACTTCAGAAACACTACCTTCTGTATTTCTTTTAAGCAAATTCTAACTATGGAGATAAATATCCTCTTGGTATATTTCCTGGAAAATGAAGAGAGCACCAAATCTTTCCAAACAGGAACCTGTTTTTCAGCCAAGAAGAGAACAGGAGAAATGAAGATATGGCCTATGTGGTATCCTCCATTAGCAGAATTGTGAACAAAGTTGTATCAAGAATTTCAATTCGGACAGAGACAATATTAAAATGGATTGAGACTGGAATGGAGTGAACAGATTTGTGAGATTCAAATTATCTTTAATGGTCAAACTTATGAATTCTTCATTGGTCAAATAATCCTGTGTGTTCATCCTTTGCTTTTCTTTTTCTCAATCTGATTTACAAGAGATTAGCATGCACCTAATTTATAAATAGCTATGATGAAGAGGGATACATTTTAACTTCAAATAAAACCAATGTAAGGCACAACTATTCAGGAATATTTTATATTTTCAAAGTATTTAGGAATAGTTTAATTAGAAAAATAAAGGCAATGGGATTATCTATCAGGTTCTAAAAGTACCCAGGAATTAAATCACTCCCCCCAACAAAACAAAACCTTAAATCACATTGCTATTAAGCTTTCTTACAGTAAAGAATAAAACCAAACTATGCTGAAGTACAAAATCCTGAAATTCTGAGCATGAAAATAATTTATTGACTAGACATCTGATTTATTCAAGCAGTAGGCCTACTGAACACAGCTATGGAGTAGGAAAAAAAAAATTCCATCCAGCACCTGCATTATTTCAAATTTCCTGGGGACAGTTTATGCACTCTGTATTACAGCCTCACCCTAAAACACCCACGTGCTTGATGTGGATTAAGTTTTTAATAAAAGGACATGAGAAACTGTGTATACCCAAGTTGGCAAGTTATCATTAATGATATGACTTTGAGAAATATTCTTAGGCACAATAGCACTGCCTGCAGTGACAGTCTTTGATAATCAAAGAAAAGACTACCATTAAAAGATAATCTTACAAGTAGAAAGGAAAAATATATGCACCTTTGCCAATGGATATCTTTACATATTGCGGAGAATGTCATGAGATTTTCCTTCTGTGAGATTAAAAATTACCTTTAACTGACATCAACTTTTAATGGATACCTAAATATTAAAAATCAGACAAAAATAAAACAAATTCAACCTAAATACAATTTAGGGAAGAAATGCAGGACTAATCATACGAAAAAATAGCTGCACTTCTTTGGCTAACTCAGTAAAAAATGCCAATTGAACATTTTCAGTCAAATTTTATTTTAAAAAAGCAGCAGATCAACATTACAATTCAAGAATCTAATCTAAGTATGCACTTGACAATGAAGTACATCTGAGTATGGAGTGAAAAAGGTTTTCCAAAAAACCATCAAATATATTATCTCCAAATACCCAAATAATAAAATGCTTCTGTAAGCCTTTTAAGTGGAATCATAAAGAACTGAAAATTTATTGCTAGGAAAACAAATCTGTAATACAGTAGTATGAATCTTGGGTATTAAGCATAATCTGTTGTATCAAGTTAAGAAGTAGATGTGGCAAGAAATGTGTTGTGTGTACGTGTGTGTTTGTGTACGCACGTATATGAGTCAAAGGGAGAGACAGACTATAAGCCAGTTGACCCAAGATCAAATGAAATATTGAACTTGTTCATTTGAGACCAGACACCATCATGTTAATTCTCCATGTTTAGAAGGCAATTAAAAATTATAATTCCAATAGCCCACAAACCAAATAAAAAATGTAGAAATTAAATGTTCAAAGAGCTTTTTTCCCAGCTCATTTTCAGCACCCCAAGAAAAATAAAAGCATCCATGACTATCACAGATGAAAACAAAATGAATGTCATTGGAATCAGTTATTTTTCCCCGCTGAGGTATAAAATCTATATAGAAATTTGATACTATACTATAACAAATTGTACTTCTCATAGTTCTGTTGTAATTTTTTTAAAACCCTGTTTAATATAGTTTTTTTAAATTGTTGTAAAAATGTGGTTTTCATGATTGTGAATCTGGTTCCAGTTCTTTTTCATCTATTTGTATATCAATAGTTAATATACTGGCTACCAGTTCTAATCAGGAAAAAAATCTTGGAAATATCTTCATTAGGACAGCACATTCAGCAGAATTGCTGATGTGCAAGCAAACCATAAAAGGTACAGTTCTTCAAAAAGCACATTTTGTTGATTAAGTTTTGTTGTCTGAATATTCTTTCCCATGATTCTTGATGAAAGACTCTTTCCATCTTGTAAACATCAGTGTGCACAGTCTCACTACTATGCAGTTTCACGTCCTAGGACAGGAAGGCTGGTTCACAGCTAGTGAAAAGCTAGAGGAGTCTGAGTTTTAATGGCTGATAAACCTTAACATCCTGCAGAGGAGGAAAGCACTTTTCCTTTTTTGCTACTTAAGAATGTGGCAGAAATGTATGCTGAGGTAGCCCAGTCAATCATTTTTTTTTTTCTTTTTCTTTTTCTTTTTTTTTTTGTAAATTTGGTCTCAGAATATTTCTGGAAGGGTGACGTTTCGAAGAAGCCACTGCTGGGACCGGCTTCCATTGCAGTCTCTAATGCTGGGCACCTGGCTATCCTCTTCTGTGGCTTTATCCAGGCACTGATTACTGTTCACATGCTGCAGGGTTAATTTCTGAAAGTGACAGAAAAAAAAATCTTAATAGGAAAACGGAGGGTAAAAAATCTCAACCATCTTTTTAATGATTATTAATACCTCTGTAGAAAAGATTATTTGGGGGAAGGGAAAGCACACTATTAAGGATAATGGAGGAAAAATATACATTTAACAGTAGCATTAAGAGGTATACAGAAAGGAAAAGCAATGGAGTACAGTGGGCTCCATTGGACTTGCAGTAAGATAACCTAAATTCTAAGCTTTAACTCTGGCATTAGTTTTGTAACACTGACAGTAGCTATTCTTTTTAAAATTCTTTAGTTTCCTTTAGGAAAAAGAAAGAAAAAAGAAAAAAAAAACAGATTAGTGGTGCTAATTTAGGATTCCAACCTATTTCCAAACAGCTATTTCAAAATTCTTTCACTTTCTTGTGATAAGGAAGTGATTAACTCTGTGATTCCAAACCTCAAGTCTTCAGAAACTCAGGTTGTTCTGCAGACTTAAAACTGTAAAAATGTTGGGATGCCTGAGATCTGGTACAACTGCAACTCAATGTCAGTTTCAAATCCAGAGAGCCTATCCTTGTGGCTAAGGGTGTGGTATATAAGAAAGAGCAAAAGAACTTGGAGTAGACTAGGTTCATAGCCTGAGTAACTTGGGCTTTTTCTTCTCCTACCCACTGAGTACTGGGGATTAAACCCTTGGCTTTTGCACTGAGCTACCCTCTAACCTTTTTATTTTTCATTTTGAGCCAAAGTCTCACCATATCACTCAGCTAGGATCCAACATGCATTCTCCTGCTTCAGCCTCCCAGAGGTCTAGAATTAAATGCATGCACCACCACACCCAACTGGCTTTCTCATTTTAAAATAAAGATCATATTACATATTTTGAGCAGATTCTGTGAGGTACAGAGATAACGAACTTTTTAAGTATGCAGTGCCTCACAAAAGCAGGTTCTTAATAAATGGCTGATGGGTGTAACTGTGCTTTCCTACCTACTCAATGAGATTCTAGATTTGATAACATGTTGAGTTTTAGGATAATTACAAAAGCGCAGGACAGATGAGTGTTAACAGAAACATAGTTTTTTCACATATTTTATTTGTTATTTGTACATCTTCATCTGAGAAGTTTCTGTTCATTTCAAATGCCCATTTTTGGGTTGGGTCTTTAAATTTGGTAGGTCTGATTTTTTTCAAGTCTTTTATGTATTCTAGATAGTAGTCCTGTCTGAGAACAGATGACAATATTTTTTCCCACATTGTGGGTTGTATCTTCATGCTGTTGGGTGGTTTCTCTTGCTGTGCAAAAGCTTTTTTAACGGATGACATCCCTAGTTAGGGTTTCTCTTTGATAGTTCCAATGCCTTTGGGTTTTGTTCATAAAGTTTCTGCCTACACCAATGCTTTGAGAATTCTACCTATTCTAGCTTCCAGCAGATTTAGTGCTTCTGTTTTAATATTTAGATCTTTAATCCATTTCAATTTTAGATTAGTGCATAGTGAAAGATATGGGTCTAGTTTTAATCTTTGACATGTGGAAACCCAGTTTTTTTCAGCACCGCTTATTAAAGAAGCTATCTTTCAGCGAAGGTGTTGGGCTCCTTTGTCACAGATAAGGTGGCTGAATATCTCTGGAGTTGTTTCTGCATCTTCTAATCTGTTCCACTGATCCTTGGGTCTGTTATTTTGCCACTACCATGCTGTTTTTTTCAAAGTAGCTTTGTAGTGTGATTTCATAACAGTGATTCTGATGCTCCCTGCCTTTGCCTTTGTTGCTCAGAACTGCCTTTGCTATTCTAGGTCTCTTCTGGTGCCAAATGAATTTTAGGATTGTTTTCATTAATTCCATGAGATATGTTGTTGGAATTTTGATTGGGATTGCATTAAATGTGTATAACAATTTTGGAAGTATGGCTATTTTCACTATATTGGTTCTTCCTACCCAAGAACAAGGGTTATCTTTCCATTTTTCTGATATCCTCTTTGATTCCTTTTTCAGGATACTGTAGTTTTCAATGGAGAAGTCTTTTACTTCCTTTTTTCAACTGATTCCTAAGTATTTCATATTTTTGGATGCTACTGTGAAAGATACTGTTTCCCTAATTTCTCCGTCAGTGAGTTTGTTATTCACGTACAGGAAGACTACTGATTTCTGAGTGTTAAATTTGTATCCAGCTACCATACAGAATGTACTTAATACATCTACAAGTCTTTTGGTGGCCTTTTTGAGGACTCTATGTAGACTATCATGTCATCTGCAAGTAATGATAATTCAACTTTTTCCTTTCCTATCCTTACTCCTTTTCTTTGTCTAATTGCTCTGGATAATGTTTCCAGAAATATACTGAACACAGTGGACACATCCTTGTCTTGTTCGTTTTTAGAATTAAAGCTTTCAGTTTTTCTCCACTTAGTATGATGTTGGCTATTGCACTGTCATAGATGGCTTTTATCAGAGTGACCTAAAGACCATCTATTACAATTTTCTGTAGAGTTTTTATCATGAATGTGTGTTGGACTTTGTCAAACATATTTTTCTGCATCTATTGAGATGATCTGTTAATATGGCGTATTACATTCATTGATTTCCGTATGCTGAACCATCCCTGCATCCCTGGATGAATCTTATTTGATCATGGTGTATTCTTTGCTGCAGTCTGTTTGCCAGTATCTTATTGAAGATTTCTGTATCTATAGATCTGTTTTTTGGTTACATCATTCTCTGGTTTTGGTATCAGGTTAATGCTTGTTTCCAGGAATGAATCTGGGAGTACTGCTTCCCTTAAAATCTCATTAAAGAGCTTGAGAAGTAGCAGCATCAGGTCTTCTCTAAATTTCTTATAGAATTCAGCAGTGAATCCATCAGAACCTGGGCTTTTCTTTTTTGGTAGATTTTTTTTTTTTTGTACCGGGGATTGAACTCAGGACCTTGTGCCTACAAGGCAGGCAGTGGAACCACTGAGCCAAATTCCCAGCCCTATTGGTAGATTTTTAACTGCATCTTAAGTTTCATTGGCTGATACTGGCTTATTTAGAATTTTTGCACCTTCTTGATTCAGTTTTGGTAAGTAATATGTATCTATGAATCTGTCCATTTCTTTTATTTTCCATCTTATTAGAACACAGGTTCTTGGAGTAGATACTGGTGATTTTCTGGATTTCTGCAGGATCTGCTGGGTTTCACCCTTTTTATCCCTAACTGCATGGATTTTAGTCTACTTTTTTTTTTTTTTTTTTTTTAAACAAGGCTGGCTATGAGTTTGTCAATTTTATTTAATCTTTCAAAGAACCAACTCTTCAACACATTGATTCTTTGTATTGCTTTCATAATCTCCATTGCATTAATTTTTGCTCTGATTTTAATAATTTCTTTCCTAACATGAGGTTTGGGCTTAACTTGCTCTTTTTTTCCTAGAAGCTTGAGGTTCAACATTAGGTTATTTGAGCCCACTGTTTTTCCAATATGGGTATTGGCCACTATAAATTTCCCTCATAAAATTGTTTCCATTTTGTCCCATAAGTTCTGGTATGTTGTGTTGTTATTATTGTTTAATTGTAGAAACTTTCTTCAATTTCATCTGTGACCCATTGGTTGTTCAGGAGGATGTTATTTCCACATTTTTATGAAGTTCTTGTGGTTTCTTTTGCCACTGACTTCCAATTTCATTGCACTATAGCTAATAATACATGGGATAATTTCAATTCCTTTGCATTTACTTAAGCATGTTCTATGAGCTAATATGTGGTCTATTTTGAAAAATGTCCCATGTGCAGCTGAGAAGAATATGTACTCTGATATTGTGGGGTGGAAACTCTGCAGAAATCTACTAAGTTCACTGGCTCAGTTCTAATATTTAATTGTTGAATTTTTACCCAGTTGTTCTATTTATGACAGTAGGGTACTGAGGTCCCCCATTACAAGTGTATTAGTACTTATAAGTTTTTTCATGTCTGTTAATATTTGTTTTATATAGTTGGGTGCACTGCTATTTGGTTCATATATATTTATGATTGTTACCTCTTCCTTTTGGATTACGCCCTTAACAAGGACATAGTGACCTTTGTCTCTCTTAGTCTTGGCTTGAAATCCACCACGTCTGCAAATAGAATAGCAACCCCTGCTTTTTTCTGGGTTTCTGTCTCATGAAGTACTGTTTTCCATCCTTTGACTTTCAGTCTATGAATTTCTTTGTGAATTAAATGTGTTTCTTATATGCAGCATATTGTTGGATCTTGCTCCCTGATCCATTCTGCCAGTCGGGTTCTTTTGATTGGTGAATTCAGACTATTAACATTGATGGCAACTTGTATGTATTGATTTATCTTTTTTTAATGTTATTTTCCTGTTGTTGGCTCCCTTTTTACTTCCTCTGTTTAATTTCTTGCCTTGCCTGATGGATTCATTCTCTTGGAATTTATGGAGTTGTAATTCTTTTTCTCTTTTTCTAGAATGTCCTTCAGAACACTTTGGAGTGCTGGTTTGGTGTTCATGAATTTCCTTAGGTTTTCTCTGTCATGGAAGTACCTTACTTCTCCATCTTTAAATTTTAAAAGATAGTTTTGTGGGGTACATCAATCTGGGTTGGAGGTTGTTTTTTTTGAAATACTTCAAAAGTTCTCCTTAAGGGTTTGTGTTGAAAAGAAATTATAAATTTAATCAAAGGCAGTATGGTATTGTACAAAGAATTCTGGACCAAGGATCAAGAATCTTATTTCTGAGATCTAGGTTACATGATTTACTTGAACTGTGACCCTTAGGAATTAACTGCCACACTTGGCTTCAATTTCTACTAATATAAAACAGTATCCTAGATTTTATTTCTAGCATTCCTTTGAAATCTATGATTTCAAGACTTTGGGTTTAGATTATAGATTACTGACATTAGTATTTTGTCATCTTTCCAGATGGTTGTTTTCAATGGATGGTGGGAGGGCCATTTTGATGGGCCGTTGCTTTTAAGAGGTCCCTATGCAGTCAGTTCAAACTGCTGGACCAATATTGCAGCTTGAGGTCCTTCTGCTCAATTCTGTTTCCTCCTTTTTACAAGTATTAATTTAAAAAAGTATGTATAGTAACTATCTGAATTCTTAATTTGTAGTGTGATTTTGGAAGAAAACAGTCTGTGAAGACAAAATTCTCAGGGGAAAAACTTTGCAAAGTGATCTAGAAGTTTTGAAACTGCACTCACAACTGGTTCTAAATATCCTAAATCATCTCTGGCTTCTTCCATTTCTAATCAGACACTTCCTTTTGGAATATCTATTGTGGTAGACTGTAAGTTGGCTAGTCAACAGCCATTCCTCACTTCACACTATAAAGACTAGAAAATCAAAAGCTTATTTTCCTAGACTTCAATTCAGCTGGGGGTGACTAAAGGACCTATTTCTGGCCCATGAAAATAAGCTGAGAGTGCTAAGAGAATTCTAGGAAAACCTTCAGCTTTCCTGAAAGACAGCAATCTATGTGGTAGTGAAACATTCTCCCTTACCTTTTCTTTGCCTTGAGTTATGTGACAGTGAGAAGTATAGCAGCCATTTTATGGCTAAATGGAAAAAGTGAGATTATAGCTATCTTCTCCCTTATATAACTGTGCCATGAAATCTTCACCAGAAACCATTTACATTGAGGAGTTACAACAGAGAAATAACTCCTTATTTAAGATGCTATGCTATAAACAGGTTTTGTTAATTGCCTAATATGCTTTTTTTCAATGAACCTTAAAATGGGATGTTTTTCACATTTATTGTCATCATAATGGCTGTGTCACTGGCACTTGCTGTCGTGGCCAGAGATGCTCTGCATCCTTCAATACATAGGGCAGTCACACCCAAAATAGCAATGACATGCTGGAACAGAATATTCAAGCCATTTCTAATGGCCATATTAAGCATATTCTTTTTAACTAATATTAACCACATTAGTTAAATGCCCAGTGACACACCCCTATTTTTTTTTTTTTTTTTAATTCTTCTAGGCAACTGGATAACTTACCACTGGGTCATACTCCCAGAGTTGATTGCCTTTTAGGTGGTGGCATTTGAGCATGGTAACGGGGCCATTAAGTTTGGAAACGTCCAAGCAAAGGTCATCTGTTCTAATTTCTTTGTTGGCAGTATAAGAGAAAACCTGAAAAACAAAAATGTATACATGTAAGTTTTATGAATGAAAATTATCTGGCATTTTTATATGTCCAATAACTTGACAAGGAAAAAAACCCAAGTATTTCAAGATACACAATTTTTGCATTTTATTAACCACTTATGTGGAGTATCACTTGGGCAGGTGTTATTTCACCCAGGATGCTTGAATAAATCTGATAAAATGGTCATTTTTATATTTCCTGTTATATAAACTTTAAAAAATTAACAAAAAAGTGCATTTTTTTTTTTTGGTCATCATGTATTTAAATTGGACTGGTAAGTGGTTAAAATAACGATGAATGACTCTGAAACCTACCACTAAGTTTACACAGACAAAGGTAAAAATGGCCTTCTTTTCTATATACACTAGAATACTGCCAAGGGTTGTTTTCTGTTGACTAAAAAAAAAGGGCAAAATAAATCTTGTGCTCAGTATTCTCAAAAACAGTTTTCACAAAGGGTCTTTTGCAAATGTTTTGTTTAAAAATACCATTATATTAGCCATATCTGTGAGATAGGAGGATCACTGTGAGTTTGAGGCTAGCCTAGGCTACACAGTGAATTCAAGGCCAGCCTGAAATACAAAGTGAGACTCTGCCTAGGAAAAAAAAAAAAAAAACTAAATCCTTAGATTGAAGCCTTCCTTCAATGATTGTATTTTGTCTTTAAACTGAACAATATTTCCAAATGGTGTCATCAGATAAAAATGGCAAAGTAAAAAATATTTTTTAAAGTATCCCTTTAAAAATCTAAGATACTCACCTGATTACCTCCCATACCATGACAATTAAAAATTCCAACTTTTTCATTCTCTTTTCTAGCCATGTTATCTAGACACTGATTTGTTTCCACATTTCGAATCTGTGAAACAATGAAAATAACAGTACTTAGATTAACTAGACAGACACACAGATGCGTACAACACTAAGAAGCAATTTAAGCTTTCTTTGTACTTTTAAATTACCTCAAATTCTTTAGGAAATTCTACAGGCTAAGGGGGTAAAAATCACTATCTGGCTATGTAAATTCTCTAGCCTAGAAAGGTCTTACAAACTACGTATTTTCTTCCTTTAAGGGGGAAATCCTTTAGGTTCTTTACCTCATTCTTTCACATTATTTCCCTAGATTTATATTTAGTTCAATTCCTTAAAGATACTACTACTCATAAGGCAGAAGTATTACTTGTGATAGCTACTCTGACGACTTCTCAGGAGACTTAAGGTCTTTGGCATTTTCTAGCCCAAGAGATTAGAACTTGGCTTATCTAGAAACTCAGACTTTGTGTGGTACAAACTTAACTCTCTTGTTCAATATTTGTCAGTTACATAAAAGGAATTTAAACCAATCATCAGAATTAGGAGAAGTATCTTAAGCAATTCCTTTTGATATTTTATTTTCTCTACACCACTGCAGTTTAAAAACTTGATACATTAAATTAACAAATATCTGAAAGCCCTAAACCTATTCCCATGACTAGCACTATTAGCAAATAAGCCAGAAGGAGATATATGACAGACTATATTGGTCAAGTCATGTGGACAGAAAAATACGTATTTTTGTGTGATAAATAAAACACAGGTGAAGTTAAAACTACAAATGAGCCCTTTGTTTTTATAAATGTCTATTTTGATAAGATGCTAAGAAGTCCAGATATATTTGTCTTACTAAGATTAAAAGGAATAGGTGTAAAAAACTATCTTATTCCCAGACAACTAGGAATAAGAAACAGAGGTTCTTGCATAAAAGGCCCAGGTTTAAATTCAAGTGGCTCAACATCTTATAGATCAGTAATGGGGATGGAGGGCTAAAATGTAAGTGTTCCTTTGAGATTATGTAAGACAGGGCATCTAGGTAACAACATCAGAATCCAGCACATGTAGGCTCAGAAACAGCGATACTCTGCACTATTACTTTTTCACTAATCACTTCCGTTTGATTACTTTACCAAAACCTCAGGCTCATTTTATTCAGAACCAGGTTGTCAAAATTTTAATATGAATACTCCCCCTCATCCCAACATTTTAGTGTGCCTCTACCACAAAGCAAGAATTACTATTATTCTATTCCTCAAAAAAACTTCCCGTTCTTCTGATACCACAATTTACTAGTAATCGCACATATTCAATTATTCAAGCTGAAAATCCTAAAGTCTTTTTTTGCTCTGGATCCAATATATCATATTGTCCAGAAATTTTTTTTTTACCACAGTAATTCACATCATCTTTTTAATCTAATATTTTAATTTGGGAGCCAACTGCCACATATATTATATGAAAGAATTTATAGCTAAATATAAATTTGCAGATAGCAAATCTTCCTATATCCTAGTGGGTGATCAATTAATACTTGTGATGATGACTATCTTACATAAAAAACAATTTAGTTCAAGCTACGATCAGATGTGTCCATGCCTCATATATTCACATACATCATTTATAGATTTGATTATAATGGCAAATACACCAATCCTTCATTTTCCTGAAGTTTCTTTTCCTAATACAGTGTAGATGCAAAGATTGCTGAAAAAAAGGGATACATGCTAAAGGAATGATTAAAGTAGACCCAATGTTACTCCCAGTTTCCCATTCCACTATGAAATGGCTATTTGGTTATATATTTGTCTTTACCAAAACTCAAAATGAATTTTAAAAAATGCAATTCTCAGTCAGGTATGGTAGTAAATACCTGTAATTCCAATACCGTGGGAGGCTAAGCTAGGAGGATCACAAATTGTAGCATATCCCAGGTGACTTAGTGACTCACCAAGAACCTATCTCAAAAAAATAATAAAAGGGCTGGAGTGTAGCTTAGTACCAAAGCCTTGGAGTCAATCCCCAGTACCACAAAATAAAACCAAACCAAACCATAAATAAAAACAAACAAACACAACAAAGCCAAAAGGCCCCCAAATTCCCCCAAAATGTAGTAAGAGCTTTGTATCAGTTTGTTAAGTATCTTATAATAAACTTTGGCTATTTTATTTCCATAAGTGACATAGCTAACAAATTATAGCAAATAAATTATACTTACTCTGTGCCAGACATTGTTCTATGAGGTTTGTATATACAGCTTATACTATTCTTTACATTTCTCTAATTCTGATTTTTTTCTGACATGAGAGATCTGGCCTCTATCCCTGAGGTTACTCCTGACCACTAGATGTTTAAAGCGGACATTTATTGCTTTCTATCAGCTGTTAAGAGTGAAGAACAATCAATCAACATGGAGCAGCAAGAAGTGGCAGTGACGCCCAAGTGAAATGAGTGGTCAAAGACTCAGCTTTAGGGTCTGGTGGGGCCAGTGGCACATTTCCAAAGTACAAAAGTAGAGAAACACCCTGCAGATTAGACTTCCAGAAAGAGCTCTAATGTTTTGATCTCTGAGTGCCATTAACACTGGAGGGCTGATGAGTTTGTTTTCCTCAAAAAATACATGGCTTCTTTATAGCCAAAGAAGATGGCTGCTCTCCAGGTGAGTTCCTTTACAAACTGGTTGGCTAGAAGATGTAATTTTTGGGGAATATCCTTTTTCTTCATTCCACAGATGAGGTAATCCACATGTGTCCCTAAAAGTGATATTAGAAATCAGGAAAACTAGGACTTAAGTTTTGGGAACAATTTTGTTCTTTGGAATTCTAGGAGTAAAAGGATCACCTAATAGTGTTTTCTGGTGAGAGTTAAATTTAAAGTGCCTCTGGAAAAGGGAAGAATGAGAAGCAAACAAATTTTCATGGGCTGCTGAATTAGATGTTCAAAATTTTAATTTCACACAGCTCTAAGGCTGTATAATTACCAGCTTACTAGTGAGGTATGGAAAGTAGAAATGGTGGCAACACACACTTATTTCAATGTTTAAAATGGGATGAAAATAGGCACCAAAGTTGGTTATTCAACACCTGACATTTTAAAGCATATTTAAAACAATGCTGCTTGGAAAATACAGAATGACAGAAAACATAGGCATATTACTATGAAGGAAGAGAAAATATATGCAAGAATGTAAAGCTAGCTAATGTAAGGATGTTCTAGGCAAATGTCTTCAGTGTTGAACTTCTAAAAAAAAAAGTCAGTTTTCTCACAAGTTAGGGGGTATTTTGAAGTTCAATGAAGGAACAGATGGGATAGCTTCTTTCTGGATTTTCCCAGTCTTATACCATCTTTTGGTGTACATACAGTATATAGTTAACTTCTCCATAGTCTTATAATACATTTGTTTTCCTGCCTAATCCCATATTGATGACTATCTTTGTCACCTTGTTTGGGAACATACTCACTAGATATCAGGATGTCTAATGGAAACTGAGATTCTAAATTAGTAGAGATCTTTAAACTAAAACGCTGACTTGATATGTGAAAAAAAGGGACCTTTTTCTGGTTGAAGTAGACATTCCTGAGTACCATTATAGTCTGGGTGCTCTCCTTTACCTAACAGGGAGTTAACTATTGGCAGAATGCCTTGGAAATTTGATATGGTACATCTTATAGTAATTGTTTTAGGAGAACTCTAAATTATTTAGGAGTAAGAAAAACTACAGAGGATACATTCTTGTTATGATTTTTGGAAACACCAAGTTTGATAAGCCAAATATGGACTTCTCAACTTAGGATCTGGCAGAAGAAACTTGCAGAATGGCAGGGTAACACTGCAAGATAAAGACAGACATATCTGGTACTGGCTATCTGTGTTTATGTTTCTAGAATCATTCAACAGAACTTTCTGTAAGTATGGAAATGTCTAGATTTGTGCTGCTCAATATGGTAACCACTAGTCACATGTTTACTGAGCACTTTAAATGTGTAACTGAGGACCTAAGTTTTAAATTTTATTCAACCGCAATTAAGTTTAACATAGCAAATGGACACTACACTGCATGCACAGGTCTAGATGCTGGCATATAGAAGAGCAGCTCTAAGTGAAATAATACAGGGCTTCTACCTGGGACTGACACACAGTAGGCATAGAGTAACTTGGTTCTTTTCCAAATCCACAGAGCTATCAACTTTTCAACCCCATTCCTAAATTTTTACTTAGCTACTTTTTACTTGAAGAGCTGAAAGTAATTATGAGTGTGCTCATTCTTGGGAAACTAGGCAAGACATAAGAGTCTGGGATTCTTAGATTCTGGTACAGTTTCCTCCAGACTCCTGGTACTTCTACTAGGGTGGACGACGTAAAAGAGTTACTAAAGCATGTTTAGAAATCTGGATTCAATTATTCATTCTTGCCCATAAGGGAAACACCAGTCAAATATGAAAATGAATCTAGGGTTAGTGGTTAAGAATGTACTCTCACAAGCCAGACTGCCTGTGTTCAATCCCTATCTCTTCCATTTTGTGGTTGTGACCACAAAAGCTATGCTACAACTTTTGTTTGTGCCTCATATTATTCACCTGTGAGATGAGGATAACAGCATTGACTCAAAGTGTTGAAGTGAGGATAAAAGGAGTCAATACTGGTAAACATTCAGATCGGTTCTTAACATAAACAACAGTACGTGCTTAGTAAATGTTAGGATTACTAGATCTTCTTGGAAAAGCAATTGGTCAGCCCATATGACTGGCTAAACTGGTAAAGATCTGAATTGTCTGCTTTTTGTGGTTTGTTCAGATTATTCAACTACTGGATCAACAATTATTAGATATCACAATGAGACATGTTTATTTGGTTTCAGCTACTATAGGAGCTATGGAAGTCAGATTTAGTTGAAGTCAGATAATCTATACTCTAACAACTATTACTCTGGTCATAAATTTCCTAAATTCTCTTTCTGCTCTACAAGTCTATGATTTCAGGTTTTCCTGGGTCCTGGTAGTGTGACAAAAGATCTCTGAGAGGCCAAATTCCAGTCACTGACAAAGAAA